CCCGCTCCCGTCTTTTCCCTCCCCCAGCTCCATCCTACACAGTGGGGGCCTCCTGCATATACGTACCCCTAGCCCCCCGAAAACAGTAACCAGTTGGTCATCTTTGGGCCTCAGGGTACACCATGGTCAGTGCAGTCTGTCCCCAGGAAGGCAGGCCCAGGGAAGAAACCTGTGCAGGGTGTTGGGGCAGCGACTTCTGGGAGCCTGGGGACCCAGGCTATGTTCTAGAAAGAAGCACAGGCTCTGGGAGGGCACATCCACCCCTTCCCCTGAGCATGCAGTAGCTTTGCCCTGCAAGAGGGACAAACTCAGAGTTCTCCTAATCACAGGACCCTGTTGGGAGCCTCTTGTCGAAACCCAAGGCCCGTGCTGATGGTGACTGTTTGAGGGTCCCGGCCGGCCAGGTCCCAGTTAACGAAGGCTCCCTCTCCCCCCCTCCCTGGGTGCTTGGGGCCCCAGGGCTGCAAGTGGATGATCCAGCGCTTCCGCCAGTACCTGGCGTCCAAGCATGGGCCGGAGGCGGTGGAGACACTCTTCAGCGACATGGACAACATCTTCATCAGGAGCCTGCAGAGCGTGCAGAAGGTGATTATCAGCGACAAGCACTGCTTTGAGCTGTACGGCTATGACATCCTCATAGACCAGGACCTCAAACCGTAAGTGGGTGGGCCGGCAGCCTGGAGAACGGGGTGGGGGGGTACGTTTCACACACACTGCACCCAGACGGCCCAGGTGTGGTCTCTGCCGCTTCCTGGTTGGACACACTTCCTAGTTTTGTGACTCAGTTTGCCCATCTGTAAAATGGACATTGTGCTTATAGAATTATTATGAGGGATACATGAGGTATTGTCTGTAAAGCACCGAACCCCCTGCCTGGCACTAAAAGACCTTTCCTGAACATCTGCTGAGTCAGCAATCCTTCCCGAGTACCAGGCAAGAAACTTCTCTGTAAGCCCTGCTGCTCTCAGGATGCAAAGTGCCGTGTAAGGGAATATTGTTACCATGTCACTTCCTGTTAAGAATGTGGTGCATTCATGGGGCGCCTGGGTGGCTCAGTCAGTTGAGCGTCCAACTTTGGCTCAGGTCATGATTTCACGGTTTGTGAGTTCCAGCCCCGTGTCGGGCTCTTGCTGACAGCCCGGAGCCTGCTTTGGATTCTGTGTCTCCCTCTCTCTCTCTGTCCCTCCCTGCTCACGCTCTGTCTCTCTCTCAAAAATAAACAAACATTAAAAAAAAAAAAAAAAAGGAATTTGGTGCGCTCCCACAGTCCCCACAGAGGAGGTTGAGCTGATGAGGAAGACAAGCCTGAGGTGGCAGGGACCATCGTGATGGCCCTCATGTGACACAACAGGACACAGAAGCCCAGTGGGTTTGTTCTGGGCGCTTGGGGTTACACATTGTCAAGGGCAGAGCCAGGTCATAATTCCTGGGCTGAGCTACTCCCTGCCTGCACTGCGGCTCCCGAGCTCCTTCCCCAGGGTCACTGGATAGGTGCTGAGGGCTTTCCGAGCCAGCAGTTGGAGCTCTAGACTGATACCTATGTCAGACCCAGGTTCAAGGAAACAGGGTCCGGGTGCCAGCGGGTCTCTCCTTTGCCCCCTGCTACAAAGATGTGGCTGCGGGTATTAAAGTGGACACCGATGGAGAAACAAGCTTGGGGGTGGGAGGGGGACCCGAGTCTGCCACTCACCTGCCGGATGGGTCCTTCCCTCTCTGTGCCCCAGGTTCTTGTCTGTAAATGACCGGATTTGCACAAAACAAGAGTTTGCAAGCTCTAGGCCCTTGGGCTGCTTTTGGCCACAGACGCTTCAATTTTGGAGTTCAAATTATTTTCCTTGTAAATTCATTTGAGCATCTCGAAAAACTGGGAGATGTTTACACAACAGTCTGGATGTTCGCCTTTTCTGGAAAACTCAGAACCCTGGGCTCACACTCCCACAGGGTGACAGTCTCCTGGAGGGGCCACCGCTTTAGAGTGGAATGTTCTTCCCGGTTCACCGCTCTCCACCCCTCCCAGCTCCTGCCGTCCTCAGCGGCCATTGCCCACGCATGCAAAAGTTCACTAGGAAACGGGACTTTGTCTTGTATTCACAGCTCTAGTGGGAGAAGGAAGAGCAATACGAGGGCACCAAGATCATTCCACCCCCTCCAGCTTGCCTCATTTGGGTACCACCTGGCCCCAGTGGGGATTTCAAGTTTGTGACAATTGTTTTCAAAAAGTTTTAGCCACTGAAACCTTTCTTCTAGTGGAAAAATGGAGACAGCAACCTTGGTTGAATTGAGGGTTGGGCCCAGGCACCCCATCTAGCCTCTCCATGAAATTCCAGGGTCCCCAGGGACCAGGCAACCCTAAGGCTCTCCATTCCCCTCCTTCCCCAGGTGGCTCCTGGAGGTCAACGCATCCCCATCGCTGACAGCCAGCAGCCAGGAGGACTATGAGCTCAAGACCTGCCTTCTGGAAGATACCCTGCATGTCGTGGACATGGAGGCCAGGTGAGGGAAGGCAGCCTCGCTCAGGCACCCCTGTATGTGACAGTTGGGGCTCCCATCAAGGAAGACAGAGAACTCAGAACCCTGGGACTTGAGTGGCCCTTAGAGATGGTTCGGGCCTGCTCACCATTTTACAGATGGACAAACTGAGATGTCCACACAGGGTTGGATCCTGGTCCAAGGACTTAGCCCTTTTGAGGCACAGCAGGGCCAACTATATAGCCTTCTGAGATTCAGTCCAGCAGGATTTCCATGAGACCCTGGACTTCACCTGTCTAAGCCTGTTTTCTGGTCTGTAAAATGGGAAACCTCATGTTAACCCCCAGGATTGTTAAGTTAATCTACTAAGATAATTTATTATAAAGTGCCTTGCTCATAATAAGTGCTCAATAAGAGACTATCTACTGTTATTTTTTTTAATGTTTTTATTTATTTTTGAGACAGAGAGAGACAGAGCATGAGCAGGGGGAGGGGCAGAGAGAGAGGGAGACACAGAATCCAAAGCAGGCTCCAGGCTCTGAGCTGTCAGCACAGAGCCTGACACGGGGCTTGAACCCACAAACCATGAGATCATGACTTGTGCCAAAGTCAGAAGCTTAACCGACTGAGCCACTCAGGCGCCCTGAGACTATCTACTGTTATAACGATGCGCATATGATGGGAAAACCCAGGGTCTGACTTCAGGAATGGCTGAATCCAGATGCTCAGTCAGTATTGGTTGATTCCCTTTCTTTCCCTTTCTCCTTCTCCGTGACCCACCTCTTTCCTGTGTATTAGCTTTTTCCCAATTATTCCAGCAAAAGTTTGAGGGCTAACTCTCATTCTTATTCGTGGGGATTATGTCAATGCCTATCTCTGAACCAATCATTGTGACTCTGATTGCCTGGGCCTACATGTTGTGCCCATCTCCCAGGGGAGTAGGATCAGCCCTGAGCTGAGCCATGTGAGTGAGAGAGGGAGGAGTGGTTCTCAAAAAAACCCAAGGTACCCTGAGGCTGAAAGAAGCTGAAATGGGTGCTGAGCAGGTAGAACCTCAAGTGTCCTCTGTATCTACCATCATTCACTCATTCAACAAACATTTGAGCTCCTACTATGTGCCAAGACCTGTGCCCCACACCGGGGACACAGTAAAGGACACAACAGACCTAGTCCCTGCCTTCCTGGAGTTTATAGTCTGGGAAGGACAGCAGACTTTAAGTATAAGTAGGTTCATGTTACCGAGGGCAAGGGTGGGAGCCTGGGGACAATATGGGAGACGACCCCTCTGAAACCTGGGAAATGGGTGAACAAAAGAAGAAATGCTGACAGCGTGGGCACGTGCAGGGTGCCGGGAGGGATCAGGAGCCTGGTCTGGGTCTTAGGGCTTCATCAGGTGCACCTTCATTAGCCCCTTGTATCTCCTGCCCATCTAGGCTCACAGGAAGGGAGAAGCGAGTGGGAGGCTTTGACCTCATGTGGAATGATGGCCCTGTCAGCCGAGAAGAGGGGGCTCCTGACATGTCAGGGATGGGGAATTTTGTGACCAACACACACCTTGGTAAGTGGGGCCAGGTGGGGAGTGGGCACGGGGGGATGTGTCATGAGAGGAGCCAGGTAGTCTAGGAGGCAGCTTGGCATAGCGGTTAGACCGTTTTAATTTGATCTACAATTTACCAGCTGTGTGACCTTGGGCAAGGGACTTAACCTCTCTGTTCCTCATCTGTAAAATGGAGACAAAAGAGTTTTTATCTCAACATATGCCTAGAACGCCACCTGGCACATGGCAAGAGATATTATTCATCTATCAGGAGGTGGACTGCAAAAGGCTTAGGTGGAAAAGAACTCCAAAATGTACAATGTGGTAAAAGAAATTAAGGACTTCAGGGCTTGACTTTAAACTTGGTTTTTAAAAAGTGAAAAATTTTCTTGATTATAAAAATTATTCACTCATTGTAGAGTATTTGAAAACTAAAAGGGAATAAAAAACCATCCAGACATAACCAGCTTCAACAATCTGTTGTATTTCCTTCCAGTTTTTCAAAAATGCCTATATTTATACTTTTTTCTTTACAACATTGGCATTGGGCTGGAGTTTTGAGTCCCACTTTTCCACATAGTATATTCCATGTCATTCAACAATACTAATAAGAGTCTCTCTTTTGGAAACACTTTTTGGCCAGGTCCAAGCTTTACGTACATCATTTCATTTTTAGGCAGCTTGTATCATTTTATAGATGAAGAAATGGTCTCCAGGTGTTACACAACTTGCTGAAGGTCCCAGTTATAAGTGATGAGGAGTTGAACTCCAATCCCTCTTACTCTAAAACCTGAATGCTTGGGTGCTAGAAAATTCTATCCCTTAGCACAATTAAAAACAAAATTACTCTACAGCTGTAAAATATTCCAGCTTGTATATAGGTCAACCTTACTAAATCAATTTCTCATAATTGAACATTTGGTATGATTCCAATTTTTTTCTTATAAGTAATGCCATGCTGTGATGAACATCTTCTCACATCAAGCTCAGCTGAAATTCTGGCTATTTCTTTAGGACAGATTCCTAGAAGTAGAAGTACTGGGTCAAAGGGATGGACTTATTACAGCCAAATTGCTTTTTAGAAAGAGTACACAGATTTGCCTGCTCTGAATAAAACACACACACACACACACACACACACACACAACACCACAAAAACCCTTTGTCAGCTAGATAGGTAAAAAAGATTTGTTTTTATGTGCATTCTGTTGATTACTGGTTATGTTGCAGAGTTTTTCAATTCGTATTTCTTCTTTTGTAAGCTGTCCATAGTCTTTATGCAGTTTTCAGTGGCTTGTTCTCTAAATTTATAAAGGCCTTGGATATCAATACATTGATGACATTACCCCTCTGTCAAATGTATTTATAAATATTTTCCTGAATTTGTTATTTGCTTTTTAAATTTCATTTAAGTGGCTTTTTTTTTTTTTTTTTTTTTTTTTTTTTTTTGATGAAAAGAAGTTTTAAATCTTTTTTTAGGGTTTGATAGGATTTAGGATTGAGTTTGGCTGCAAGCAACTGAAAAGCCAAATAATTGTTAGGCAGAAAGGGAATGATCTGTTTTGAGCCACAGGATGTCTTGGGGTAGGTGACAGGGCTGACACAATGGATGCAAAATGCCCCCAGAGACCCAGCGCTTTCTTCTTTCCATTTGGCTACACTTAGTGGGTTGCCTTGGTGCTCATGCTTGTTGCCTCATGGTTGCAATATGGCTGCTCCTACTCCAGACACTGTGTCCTTGTCCCAGGCAGGAAGAAGCAGGAAGGCCCAAGGGCCAAGGCTTTTCCTTCAAGATTTGACTCTTTATTCCAAAAGGGAAACCCTCCCAGGGCTGTCATCTTACTGGCAAGAACTGGGTCACATGGCCACCCCAGCTGCAAGGAAGCCTGGAGTGTCGATAAATAAAGAGGAGAGGGGATTTATGAAAGGCTTTTCTACAGCAGTGCCACCTCGTGTTGTTGCAAGATGACTCTACAGAGCTTTCAAGCTTTGATGTGCATATATATAATCATCTGGAAATCTTGTTAAAATGCAGATTACGATTCAGTAGGTCTGGGATGCGGGCCTAACATCCTGCCTTTCTAACAAGCTCCCAGGTGATGCTCTCCTAGTTGTTGCTATGTAACAAACAAACTCTCCCCAAACCTAGAGGCTTAAAACAACTTCTGTCCCATTTGCTGATTCTTCAGGTCTCGCCTGGGGTCATTCATAAGGCTGCAGGCACCTGGCCGATTCACTGAGACACAAGGCCTAGAATAGCCTCATTCGCACGGGTGGTGGTTGTGATGCTGTCAGCGGGGCCTCTCTTTCCAGGAGGCCACTCATCCTCCAGCAGCCCAGCCCTGGCTTCTTCCCATGGTAGTCTCACGTTCCAAGAAGGTGGGAGACCTAGCAAAGCCCCCTGAGGCCTAGGCTCAGAAGTCCCACGGCGTAGTGTCATTCCGTCACAATCCATTAGTCAAAGCTGCTGTAGCCCAGATTCACAGGGCAAGGAAATGGAGCCCTCCACTGGGTCAAGGAGCAGCAGTCACCTTGCAGGAAGGCGTGCATATAGGAATGGAAGGAGTTGTTGCAGCCATCTTTGGCAACCATCAGCCTCAGATACTAATGCTGCTTATCCCTGGACCCTGTCTGAGTCGCAAAGATGCAGAACAGTGGCTCTCCATCTTGGCCGCTATAGGAATTATGCTGGAGCTTTCAAAAGTACTAATGTCTGCTGAAGGTAAAGATACAGTTGATCTGGCCCTTAGGAGTTTTAAAAGGTCCCAGCTGACTAAAGCACAGCCTAGTTGAGAACCCCTGCTTTAGAAGTCTCTAGAATAATCCCCAAGTCTCCAGTCGAGCGTCTGGGTGCGAGCACAAGAGAAGCTGGATGAGTTGGGAAGAGCCTGGATGAAATGAAGGGTTGAAGGGTCGCCGGGTGAAAAGATCAGCAGGTAACTCAGAGATGAGTCTAGAACTCCAACAAGAGGCTTGCATTGGACACAGAGATTTGGGAGTTATGAAGGAACCAGGTAGTTCCATGGAACTCACTTTGGAAAACCCAGGGGACCCATATAGTGGGCCTCAGCTCAGTGAAGCCTTGATCAGTTGAGTACCCAGGAAGCTCTGGGGTGCTGAGAGGGCAGATGCCTCCAGGTCAGTAGTTGTGGCCACAGCGATGCAGTCATTCAGCCAGCATCTGTGAGCGCCATCAGTGTGCCTGGCACAACTAAAGGACCGTGGTGCTGCCTCACAGACCAGCCGTGAGAACAAACAAGAAGCGGGTAACGCTGTGAAGGTGCTGAGAGGTGTCTCAGAAGCTCCTGTCGGCCTCTCAGCAAGGATTGCCTGGGACACCCTTCCAGGAGTAGGGGCCACTTGCGGGGAAAATTCCTCTCTTAACCACTTGTGCCTGCCATATGGGGTTGGGTAAGGAAGGGAAGGAAGCTAACGTTTAACCCGTTAGGTACCAGGCACTATGCTAGCTTGCAATGTTTTCACCAAGCGAAGCCAAGAGGAAAGGTAGTGTGGGGTAGTGGTTAAGAGCTTGGTCTGTCTGTGCTGACAGTGCAGGGCCTGCTTGGGATTCTCTCTCTCTCTCTCTCTCTCTCTCTGCCCCTCCCCTGCTCACACTCTCTCTCAAAATTTAAAAAAAAAAAAGAGCTTGGCCTCGGGAGCTAGATCTGGGTTCGAGTCTCAGTTCTGCTACTTGCGGTATGATTCGAAGCAAATTTCTTACCCTGTCTGAAACTCAGTTTTCTTCTACACGTCATTCCTGTGAAGGCTCAGCAAGTTCATCCACATTCAGCACCGGGGTTGAATGTTACCTTTTTCTGGTGATCCTTACATCCAGTCCACAAAGCAGGTATCCTCGTTGATCGATGAGAAAACTATGCTCAACAGGGAAGAATGATCTGCTTGAGGGCGTGCAGTTCAGGAGCGGAGTCCGGACGAAAAACACAGTCCATCCGGGGTTGCACGGCTCCTGCGGGCCCTCCCTCTTCCAGGAAGTGGGAGCACAGGCCCCTCCACGCCCCCCATGTCTCCTCTACCAAGGACAGGCCATCCCAGCTAACACTCCATTTCCCTTCCAGGCTGTGTCAACGATCGGAAAAAACAGTTGAGGCAACTGTTCCGCTCCCTTCAAAGCCAGAAGAAAGCCTCCAGTTAGTCCCCGCGGTGGGGAGGAAAGCGACCCTGGGAGGTGCCAGCACAGTCCTCTCCCCCCTCTTTCCAGCACAGCGGTGCCTCCAAGCACTCACCTCCCTCCCTCTGGCCTGGCAGCAGCGTTGCTGCTTACTGCTTGTTCCAGGTCCCCTGGATGCCCCCACCTGGGCACCTCTGCACCAGGAGACGGCCAATCCCTGGGACTGGATGCGTATTAACCTTGAGGGATTGGCCTGGCCATCGGGCCTGACAAGGACAACCGCAGCAAGTTCTGCTACCCCAGAGAGATCCTGTCGAATAAATGAGAACAGACCTCACTCGGAGTCACTGGGCACTGGGCCTGGCTCAGGGCATGATGCTGACTGGAGCCAGGCCCTCCTGGCTTTGAGCCTTTGATGTCTTGAAGGTCAGTGCTTAAAACGAGCCTTCAGGAGCAAGGGGTCAGGGGCTAGGGAACTGGTCTTAAGGTGTGCTTGCAAAGCAAGCACTTACTGGATTACTGGGGGTCTGGGGAAAGGCTGAGCCCTAAATACACCTTTCCCTCCATGCAACACCCTGACTTGGCCTGTCAGGAATTCATGGAGCTCCCCTGACCGTCTTAACATCAACAGGCCAGAGCATCCTTGTTTTTCAAGTGGACAAGGTAAGGATCGGGAAGGCCAAGCTGCTTAGCGAGGGTCTCTGCAAAGGTGCACTTGGGAGGCAGCTAGGTGATGTGGGGCCTCTACGCACCTTCCTGAGGTTGGGAGCTGAGCTTTTTAAGCCAGAAGGCCTTGGCCTGGCCAGCAACGGGATACGGCTTGGGGAGTTGGGCGCAAATGAAAGTTCTGCATTCTCTATACATTCCACCATTCCTAAGCCTCCTGTTGGTTTAAGAGAGACTGCAGCAGAGTGGGCTGTGGGCAAACTGCTCCATGGGGGACCGCCTAGGAGAGCCCAGGCAGCTCCCACTGCAACTCTCCCCCCTGCAGGACAGTTCTTTTGGCTGCAAATAGCAGAAGGGGAAGGGGAAGGGATTTTTGGAAGGAAAAATACCGGCAGACCCAAGAAGTGAACCAGTGGCCTTGGGAAGGCCAGAAGCTAGGCCACTCTGGGCCTCCTGCCTCAGAGCGTGGGAACCTCCTTCCACCCATGTGACTGAGGCAAGGCCAGACAGCCCTGGACACAGGTTCCTCATTTCCAGGACAGCCAACCTGACCGGCTCCTTTGGCCAAGCATCCACCCTGCCACACAGGCAGGGACAACGTTCAGACAGAAGTCACGCGCCAGGCACACATACAGACAGCAGCTACCAGGGCGAATGCTCCGGGCCCTTTTTTACATTTTTATGTAATATGTACTACAAAGGTGAGGTGTCCTTCTCTTTCACCCTTGTGCTCCAGCCCTGCAGTTTCTGTCTTGGGGAGGGAACCATACAGTGTTTGCACACAAATTATCGGCTTAGGAGACCCTGCTCTGTCGTCTTGCTTTTCTCACTTACTCTACCCTGGAACTGGCTCCCAATCAGTGCACAGCAAGCTTCCTTATCCCTGACTGTAGGTGTAGCGTATTCCCCTGTCTGGAGCCGTTGACTCCTTTAACTAGTCTACTATGGATGGACATCTAGCTTCCAATTCTACCTCCCCACTTTAGGACCATGATGGGGAAAACAATGTAATACTACTTTTAAAACTCAGGAAGATGCAAAATTGTAGGTATGGGGCCAAATTTGGCTTATGTAGGGTATTTTGCTGGCCAAAACCTAAGTCTTTAAAACTCTTCTGTATTAGTGATGTTTAAAAGGCAGAAGATTCAATTTAAAAATCCAGATTTCTAGCTCCTCTTGAAAAAAAAGTAACCTCTGGACATACCAGCCTGTGTTCCCACGTGATCATCGGCTGGAGCCAAGTGCAGTGAGGGGACCGGGTGAGGCGTGCCCGCTCCGTGTTACCAGTGTTGGTACTGGCGGTCTAGTCCTGCTAGCATTTCAAGGCTGGTGGCGTCCTAAAGGCAGCGTGGCCTCGATTAAGGACCAAATGAGGTAAAGAACAGAAGCTACTATTCATTCGTTTAGGAAACATTTATTAAGCTCTCAGTGACATGAAAGACAGCGTGCTGCCTCACAGCACATTAGGATCTGAGACCAGCGAAGGCAGGCCGGAACCCTGAGTGGCGCTGACCCAGGCCCCGCCTTCAGAGGTGGCAGAGGGCCTCGTGAAGAGGCAGCTCCCCCACCCGTCCCTGGTGCGGGACTCTGCAAGGCCTTCCTGACTAAAAGACAGGTGCAAGAGTTTGATAAGCAGCACCCACTCTGGGCTCCATTCTGGGGGCAAGCAGGAAAAAAGCGTCAAAGTGGAGGCGGTGCTGGGGGAGTGGTGCGTCTGGCCCACAGATGGCTGTGGTGAACTACGAAACACTGATTCGGCCTTTCACTCAGAAACCACCTGTGAGCCTCCTGCTTTATTCCAATTCCACTACATGCTGCTTGAGAATGCCTCTCTTCTGGAGAGGAATGCAGGAATGATGCTCCCCGACGTCCGGGGCCCATCTGAACAGGGGCCCTTGTTAAAAGTGCCTGTTGTGGCCATTCTCACACCCCCACAGGCGCTGCCCCCACTCAGCACTGGTGGCTGCCAGGGCCTGTCAATGGGCCTTGTGTCCATCCAGCCCCAGCAGTCAGCCCCAGCAGACACTGGCAGGCTGAGGGCTCCCTCCTGCCATCACGGAGAGCCAATCCCCCCCAGACAAAGGCTTTTCATGGGGCAGATCTTCTTTACATCTTAAAGTGTAAAGACGCCCATCTTCTAGCAGGGTGGATCGTGTCCTTGCAGGTTTCAAAGCTGGAGTCCTGGGTCCTCCATGACCTCAGGGGGGATGCTGTCCTAGGTCCCCCATCTCATTCTTGAATTTCATCCTTTTAAAATGATCTTGAGAGCTTTAAGCTCATCCTGGTTGAGGGGATTCAGGTTAAAACCCTTCAGCTCTGGTTTGCCTAAAGGGAGAAAACAATCCATCAGCTAGTTGGGCCTCCTGTTGTCCAACTCCTGCTGGCCCTGGAGTCAGGCCCAGGAAAGGGGCTTATGCTGCATTCATGTTGCCAAACACTTGGCCTTGAGGTCTGACAGGGAAGGGCCTCAAATTCTGCAATGCATTGGATAAGGCACAGGAGTCACCAAGAACCTGACTCTGCTGCCCAGAAACCTCCAGATTTCTGCCAGACCCGTGACCAATCTGGAGGGCTTAGGTTTACCCAGAAATTTAGTTCTGGCCTTAACCACCTGACTGAGGCCCTCTGAGTGCCCTGAGTCAGAGCTATCCTGCTTCTTATACCATGCCTAGGATTTCCTGTGAGATAGCCCAGGCTGTTCCTTGTGCCTGGAAAAGGACTCATGACAGGAATAAGACCCCACGACCTTCCTTGTTCATTCCATCTCTGGGCAGCTACAACCACTGTCCCTGCCCACAGCTTCAGCACCGCTCGCTTGCTGCCCAGGCCTTTGCCCGCCTGGGAGAGGCTTCCACCCTGCTCTGCAAAGTCCATGCTGACAGTCCTCTCTCTTCCTAGTTTCCATTTCCCGCCAGGCCAATACCTTGGGCCTCAAAGAGGCGGTTGACCTTCACTTTAAGTTGTTTGCGGAGTTTCTCTATTTCTTTATCCAGATGGTCCTGATCTGAAAAAAACGAGGTGGGCAGAGGATGAGGTTACACCACAGACAGACCCACCCAAAGGGAGAAGCCCTCCGCTTCTCCCCCCACTCCTTGAGATCAAGGGCTCCTGGCATTCGGGAAGAAGGGGACTTGAGAGACCAACTGAGGAAGGAAGTGAAGCCTAGAGAAGGGATGCGATCTGCCCAAGATGGTCGAGTAAGCCCAGGAAAGGACTGAGCACTCGCCTCTCCGTTCACTGACCTATTTTCATATGCAAAGTACCTTCGGCTGCTCAGTGGGTGGGGAAGGCAACATGGGACTTTAGGTCACCCTCCCACAATGAAATCACAGAAAATTCAAACATCAAACCAGAGTGAAGAAGATGGTTAGGAAAAGCATGGCTAAGGAGTTTTACAAACCTAACTCCATCAATACGAGGGGTTTTTAGGTAACAGGACTGTGGTAACATGTGACCTAAACGATCAATGGACAAGCCCGATGCTTGGGCTTAACCTAATTAACCCTGGTGAACAGAAAAGGTTATCTTGCCAAGACTGTTCATACCTTAGGGCACACTGCATTATGAGAAGTAGACGCCACAATGTTTGGTGACACCACTGCCTAATGTCACCCAAACGACCACCTGCTGGTTTGTCTTCCCCACAGATTTTCATTCTTTCCAGTGGGGAGAAGGCCTGGGCAGCGGTTCTAGTGCTCCTGGTAAACGAGCAACGTTAGGCCCTCAGGGGCTTGGTTAGCTTGGGAGGACCCAGAGAACCAGCGACAATCATGTCCCAGAACCCCTCGAGGTATGGTGACAAGACCATATCTGTGGACCAAGACAGCTGAGGACCAGATCCTGAACCCAGGCAAGCAACCCCCTCTGAAAGCTTAGCCTGAGTGAACTGTGGCCACCACCCAAGTGCAATGACGACTCTTAATTTTATAACCATAGTATTAGTGTACATTTTTCAAAAGCGCAGTCAGAAACTTCTTTAAGCTGTTCTAGTCTCCTTTGCTAAAATTTTATTTCAACAGCGCTAAGGAGACTCTGCCTTCAGGGACGGGCGACCTTGCCGGTCCTCTTGGTCTATACATTTTCCAAGGGTCGGGAGAGAAAAAACTATGCATAGTCTTTCCTTTTCCCAGGCAAGGACCCATTTACAGCTTGACTTTTTGCCGTTATGCTCCTACAAAGAGCCTCGAGGGTCGTGGCTATGAAGATCTGAGTACATGCTGAGTGCCCAGACTGCAGCAGAGCCCGGAGGCTCACTCTCCCCAAACCTCCATTTTCAATGCAGTCTCTACTACAGGGGACCTGAAAAATAAAGAGCTCACTCTGCCAGGCTCCCTTGAAGCTACGGGTGGCCACATGACTTAGTTCTGGCCAACGAGATGTCCGAAGTCTCTAAGGAGGACAGCCTTACTTTGAAACAGAAAGCAAGGCCATACACGGAGCAGGCCCTCTGCCTTTCCTACAGCCTGGCATGAGGACACGAGGCCTGCAATGACCACACCGCCACCACGAGAACACGTGAGGGTGACCTTGCTGTGAGCAGCAGTGCCAGTCCTGGACTGCCTGCCTCTGGACAACTACTGAGGAGAAAAACAGAACCAGGTTTCCTGAAGCCTCGGTTTGTTGGGTCTTTTGTATTTGTGGCACAAACTGTTTCCCACTGGTAAACAAGCACTAGGCTAAGTACATATACTGTTTTATCCCACCTTCACAAGTGTGCTACGGAGATGCGTCCCCCCCCTTTAGAGACGAGAAGTAGCTCAGAGTGGCAGAGCAGGGACTCAAACCCACACCTACCTGAACACTGTAACACAGCTGCCTCTCCTCAAATGGCCCAAAGCCTGACTCTCACTCAGTTCTGGGTTACGATTGGGGCTGGTGGGGGAGATGTGTCCCTGACTCATCCCCAGAAGGCCTTACCTTTCTCAATCATCTCCTTCGTCTGAGGGTGAGGCATCCTGATGAACATGTTCCCGAAGCAAACCATCACATCTTCTGAAAGGGCAAATGGTCACTCTTTCAACAAATATTTTGGAGCACCTACACTCTTGACAGGCATTGTCTGAGATGCTGACAACACAGTAGAACGACACAAAGTTTCTGCCCTCACAGAGCTTATGTTACGGTGGAGGAGAAAGAATAAATAAGCAAAGATAGGACCTGTCAGACCCTGATAAGTCTAAGTACTCCACAGAAAAATAAAGCAGGGTAAGACGATGGGGAATGTCAGGGTAGGGGACGAACTTGTCATCGGTATCAGGTGGTCCGAGAAGACCTCAATGATCATGTGACATCTGGGCAGAGACTTGGAAGAAAGTGGGGGTGAGCCCTGCAGACATCTGGGGAAAGAGTGAGCAAGGCAGAGGAAACAGGAACAGCAAGACCAGGGTGAATGGAGTCGATGAGTGAGGGGGAACAGGAGAGGAGAGGATGTTGGAGAGTTCCAGGCGGTCTTACAGGACTCCGCCTTTTACTCTGGTGAGATGAGAAGCAATGAACAGGTTTTAGGCTTTCTGGTGCACTTTAAACCCTGGGCCTGGCCTCTGCCCATCTTTCCAGCCACATCACATGCCCCCCCCCCACCCCCCGCTTACTTTGTCTTACCCACCTGTCCTCATCTGAAAAGCCCACAACCCCTCCTCCAACACCCACCTCATGTCCAATTCCTTCCTCAGCTTTCTCACAACTTCCAATTATGTATTTATGCTGTTTTATCTGTAAGAGCACAAGGGCAGGAACTGCACTGTGTCCATAACCCCCACCCGGCACCTTCCTAGTGCCATCAGTGAGCCAGCAACTAACCTCCATCGTGGAGATGAGCCGCTGAAACCCTGAGCCACAGTCCGTGTCAGACCTGCAACACTTTCTCCCTCATCTCCACAGGCTGTGTCACACACGTGGGGCTTCCTGACTTGTCTTTGTTACAGATAAGTTGAAAGCCTTAGAAGGAAGATAGAACAGGGCTCCAGAGCCACAGTGATGAAACCCTGACTTACCGGAGAGGCTGAGATCCTTCTGCAGAGCCCGCAGGCCCTCCCGGTTCTGATTCCTTTTGGTGTCCAGATCCACAATCTGCAAAGCACAGGGGTAGGAGGGAACTCAGCTCCCTCTTGCCCCAAACCATTACCTTCCAACAGACCAGAGGCTTTTAAAACTCAACAGACACAAGGCATTGTCCCTGGGTTTCTTCCAATGTCATGCCCAAAACACACTGATGTGCAAATGTACTTCTCCTATTCAGTTTCCAGGTCCTTAAAGACAATGCTCCGTGCAGGTGCTGTCCCCACAGAGAAAGGTGCTGGGGAAAAGTTCGCTGACTAAATGGATAACTTATTATTCACTGGAGTGCTAGTTCTCAAGTTGCAGAGCATTTCAGAATCACCATGGCAGTAGAAACCGCTCCCTGGACAAGTCCCTTCGGCTGATGCTGACCTAGTATCAGGAGAAAGCCAACATTCCTGGACTGCAATAGCAGGGGTGGGGGCACTGAAACAGTGCTAACAACACAAAAGCTACTAAGGAAGTGAGGAGACGCTACGGTATCCTTCTGGAGAGCGCTGGCTCTGGAGCCACGATACCCAGGTTTGAATCCTGTTGCCCGCCACGAGTTGTGTAATTTCACCTTCGGAGAAATGGAGATATGAATAGCACTTAGCTCATAGGTTATTGAGCCAGGAACTAAATGAGTTCGCATAGTCCTTGACACACAGTAAGTACTCGGCAAATTTTAATCGCTTCTTTATTATTATCATCCAGCACACCCTGATGCAGTGTTTCATTTAATGGGCACTTATTCATCCAAGTCTTCCCCTTCTCAGTAAACACCCGACCAGTCATCCAATTATTCTAACTGGAGACGAGTCATGAATCACTCTTCACTCCTCCCACTCCCTCACCCCCATATGTAACCACATCAAGGCCTACTAAAGCCCCAAAATATACCTCTGACCCATTCGCTTGTCTCCATCACCACCAGCTAGAGCCAAACCCATCTCTTGCCTGAACCTTGGCAGTGGCTCCTCACAGACCACCCCCCATGCCCCCCTATATTTTGTGCTCCACACACCAGCCAGAGGAACTCTTTTAAAGCCTAAATCCAATTACATCATCCTCCCTCCCCCCATCAACTCCCTTCAAACCCTCAACGCTTAAATTAGCACAAGACCCAAGACCCAGACTTCCAGGTCAGGTCTACAAGGCCCTCCACGACCAAGGCCCCACTTCTCCAGCGTCCCCACCTGCCCAATCACAAGACCACTCTTTTCTCTTTCTCTTGTCCCCTGAGAGCCTTGGCCAAGGCAGAGCACCCACAGTCAGTGGGGCGAGGCAGCAGGAACTGCCCTTTGAAAAAGATGTTCAGGTAAACCTACGAAAGAGGTAACGGCTCGGGATCCCGAGGGCACGGCGAGGGACGGAGAAAGGATGGGCACAGGGAATCTCTGGCACAGAGCAGGCGCCCACTTAACACGTGCTACTAAATGCGTGAAGCGAGGCGCCGTCACAGGCGTCTGGGCCACCTTACCTTACCGCCGCCCCACGTCTGTAGTCACAGCCGTGAGCCCACCAGCCCAGGTCAGCCCACTGCGTGCCCTCGCTGGAGCCGGATTCCGCGCCCAGCGCGCGGCCTTACGGCGGTCGCCGCCAGGCCCCAACCGCCGAACCCCAGCCCCAGCGCCTCGGACCGGCCTCCTACCTGTCGCTTGTCCGCCAGCACCTCCTCGGCGAGCTCTTCCACCTCCACCAGGTACCGAAGCACCCGTTCCGCCTCGGGTGAAAGCATGCCCACCACCTCTGGCTCCACTCCACTCGGATCGGCTGCGACACAGCTCAAATTCCGTTCGGGCTCCGCTTCGGCTGCGCATGCGCACGCGCAAGCGCCGCCCGGGCAGGCCTTCCGGCGGGCATGCGCAATTAAAAGAACTGTGTCGCGCAGGCTCCAACACTCGAGAGAGAGGCGGGCCTAGCTTTGGGGGCGGGACTGGAACGCCCCCTGCAGGCCCAGAGCGCCTAGCGTGCAGCGCTGCCTTTGAACCCACCTGCCTGCCTTTCTCTATTTGTTGAGCACCTACTAGGCGCCAGGCAGTTTTAGGTGCTGAGGGCGCAGCAGTGAACGAAGCACAGTCTCTGTCCTCATGCAACGTCATCCTAGTGGGAAACACCGACAATTCATGACAAAACATATAATTACATACTATGGTGTTTGGGAGTAATAAAATCATTCTTCCCCTGTTTCAGGAACACTAAGAAGGAAGAAGGTCCATGTGTCAGAGTGAGTGGCTTATATTTAATCTCTGACACCTTCAGTTTCCAATTTATAAAAATGGGAGTGAACAAAATTCTCCCTCATTGTGTCTCTGCCGGATCAGAAGGAGGTAGGCATCATTTTAAAAATTCAGCTTTCACCAGTATTCATCGAGCCCCTGTCTCAGGCCCAATGTTCAGAGTAGTTGACCTAGACCCAGGGAAGGGGCTGGAAAACCATGTGCAGTGAACAATGAAGTGCCAGCTCAGAAAAGAAGTTCTGTAAGTGTTAGAAAGCAAATCGGTGTGGGCCATAGGCTTTGGAAGGATGTCCAAGAAAAGGCAGGCAGGTGGAACATGGCTGCCACTCAGAACTAGAAGGTTCCCTAGAGATCTTCATGCCTGAACCCCTCATTGTACAGCTGAGAAAAACTGAGGCCCAGAGAGGAGTGAGGACCTTACACAGCCAACAGCCGACCTAGGATTCTGACCTCCTGCCTCCCTGATTCCAGCTTTTTATTCTCTCCTTTGGCCCCTGGTAACCAAACCCCTTAATGTCCCTTGCCTCACTTGAATTTCACAATTTTTTGTACAGATAGGTTATTACCGCCCATTTCATAGCTGCAAAGTGAGGCCAGGAGAAGCACAATGCCCTGTCACACAGAAAATCAGGAACAAATGTGTGTCTAGAAGCATTCTGGTCTCCATACCACAACTGTCTTTGGATCCTGGGGGAAAAAACTCCCCCCACCCCAGACTGTGGCCCCAGAAGCCCCACCTCCTCTTTGCCTGGCCTTTGGCTTCCTTCAAGTGCCAGAGGCACGGCTAATTTTCCCTGCAGCTGCCCTGCGTGGGGAAAGAAGATTCATTAAGGATTCCTCACTGAGGGTGAATTTGTCGCCAAACCCAAGATGTTTTGTGTAAACACCTTCTGGTTCAGAAACGTAGGCACAGGCCCTATAAAGGAAAGAGGAACATTTGCCAAAGGAGAAACAGGACTTACCAGGCATCCCTGGGGCCTAGACCCCAGGACTGGGTCTCCTCCACCTTGGGGCCCAAAGAGGGCTGGACCAGGCTAACCCTTGACCCCTGCCAGATGAGCCTGGATGGGGAAGGGTTAAAGTGGGCTCCCAAACTGACTGTGACTGGCCCTTAGAGAGCACCCCTGGGGAGAGAAGTCATATGTTTCATTTATATCCAAAACCATCTATTTCACAAATATTTATTGACTGCCCTGATCCCGTTATAAGGATTCCACCATGGGCAAAAAATGGACATGGTCTTTGCCCTCAGAAAGCTTCCAGTCTGACAGGAGAGACAAACAATAAACACACGAACAAGTAAATGTATCATATATCAGGTGGTGATAAACGCCATGGAGAACAACAGAGCAGGATGGTGGGGAAAAAAATTATAGAGGGGCTATATGAAATAATGTGGCCAGGGGGCTTCTCTGAGGCAGTTGCATTGGAGCAGAAATGTGGAATAGGTGAGGGGTGAGCCATGTGAATATCTGGGGGAAAAGTGTTCCAGGCAGAGGGAATAGCAAATGCAAAGGCCCTGAGGTGAGGCTTTATTTAGTAAACTGGAAGAATAGCGAGGCCAGTGTAGGTAGAACAGGATGAGCAAGGGGAAGAAAGTAGGAGGTGGGGTCAGAAAGGTGAAGGAGCACGGAACAAAGAGTTCTACAGAAGGGGCTGTGGGTGCCGGGCCCAGATGGGCAAAGCCCTTCCTGGAGGTCACCTGCGGTCACTGCCGCACACGTCTGTGGCTTCCTGCTTCTCTCTGCCCACGGAGTGGAGTGGGGGGAATGCCGGTGAGTTACGGCCCAGAGACGTGACCCTTAACCAAGAAGAGAGGAGTTAGTGACTGAGTACCCCAGCTTCTCTGCCCCTCTGTGGGACACCCAAGAGGAGGCTGCCACAATCATCCAAGTAGGAGAGGATGGTCACTGCACTGGGAAATAGCGGGGGGTGGGCAGGCAATGGTGAGGGATATCATGGCCTTTGCGCTCCCTCCTCCATTAGCCTGGATTAATTTTCTCCTGGACCTTTGTCACTGCCACATACCCCCTACTTATCAGCCTGGTGTCACCTCCTCCCAAGGGTCAGGAGTCTCCTCTAGGAGCACACAGCTTCCTGGGCTTCTCCCATCTCTGCACTCAAATACTACCTTTTTCTCCGGTCATCTCCCTCCCCAGCCGTAAGCTCCAGGGTGGAGACTGTATCTGTCTTGCTCACCGCTGTGAATCCCGAACTGAGAATGGTGCCTGGCACACAGTGGGTACTCAGCCAATGTTGACGGAATGAATGAGTAGACTCAACACGAAGCAGAACTTTGTCAAATCCAAAGTGTTCAAGGATGAGCAGAGCTAACCCAAGGGTAACCCAGTTCCGATCCCAGAAGCCTGGACTGCCCCAAGCTGAGGATATTGCAGAGGATAGATCCCTCTGCAGCCTGGGGTGGAGGTTCAGGAGTGGGCAGGTGATCCCTAACCAGAGAAACCCTGCCTGGTCACATCGGGCATGCCCCCAATCTTTAGCCCAGGCAAAAGGGACATGGCTGCTGGGACTTCGGTGTTTGGAGGCTGGAGCCAACAAGAGCAAAGCTACACCCGTTCCCCTGGGGTCCCCTTTTATTGTGCACCCCCTTTGGGTATGTGCCCAGTGAGCAGCACCCACTTCTCCCCTTAGCGGGGACTGCCCTCAGGCTGCTGGAGCCTCCTGGGGTGACTTACCTTCCCCTTAAGCTATGACCCATCATTGTAGAGATATGAAAGCCCACCTTCCTCACCTGGGATGATCGTGGGGGTACGGATGGGTAACTCCGAGGAATAATTTGCACTCCACAGTCCCCCCGTGGGATCAGGCTGAAGTTGCCATCCACGTGACATCTGCTGGGCCTGCTCGGCTTCCCCTCCTTCCCTGCCCTGCCCTCCTCACTCCCTATGGTCAAAACTCTCCAATACTCCCATCTCACTCAGTAAAAGCCTCCTCACCAAGACCCACAAGACCCTGCCTGCGCTGCCCTGCCTCTCTGAGGCATTTCCTACCTCTCTCCCCACTGTTTCCCTCTGCCCTACTATCTGCGTGTCTCCTCCTCTCACTTGCTCAAGTCTTTGCTTAAATTTCACCTTCTCAGCAAGACCTACCCCAACCACTCCACTGTATTTAAAAATGCAGACCCTGCCCCTCCCTGTCCACTGATGAACTTCCTCTGCTCTACTTTTTTCTCCTTTTTTTCCTAGCATTTGTCCCTTTCCAGGGTGTTATATAATTAACTTCCTTATATTTGTTGTTCATCTCCCTCTGCTAGAAAGGAAGTTTCACAAGAGGAGGAATCTTTGTCTCACTTGTTAATGACGTATCCCAAATGCCCAGAACAGTACCCGGCCCCCAGTCGGTGGTGAATAGACATTTTTGAATGAATGAATGAATGAATGAACGAACGAATGAGGAAAAGAGCCAGGACTCTAACCGAGGCAGATTCTCTCTGAGGCCAGGCTCGTAACCCCTCTACTGGAGGTGGGGGATGGGAGTGGCAGATCCGACCAGGGCTTGTCGCTAAGGTAAGGGGATCAGGTTTTGCTCACGGATCAGTGAGAAGCTGCTGGAAGGTTCTGAGTAAGTATGGGACATGATTGGGTGTATTTTGTGAAAGCCCTCTCTGGCGGTGGGGATAGGATGGGCTAAAAGGGAGGAGGGTTACAGTCCAGGGAGTGGGCGTTAGGAATGGGAGGGTGGTGATGAGGGCTTGGAGAGGCAACGGGGCTGTGGCTACCCTGGGACTGGGAGCAGCAAGAAGTCTGCTCCATATCCCAATTCTCCAGGCAGCCTGGGTGGTTGCCCCATGGGCTCTGGCCCGTGAGTAGTCCGGGCCGGGCCTCCCAGCTGCTGACAACGTGCCCGTCCCCCAGATGGACTGTTTGCTCTCCCGGGTGGTCCCCAGCTCCTCCCTCCGCTTCCTTTGCGCCCTTGTGGGCTTGGCAGGAGGTGGGGAGGCCTCCACTCCTTCTCCTCTCCTGACCCAGAGAATAATCCTTATATTCATATGATCCTCCTCCTCCGTGCCCTCACTTCATCCTCCCACATCCCCCAGTAACACAGAAACCTGATTCCCATAGGGCAGATGAAGATATTGAGGCCCAGAAAGGGGATGAGACCTTCCTGAGGTCATGAAGCCAGATGGGGACACCAGGTGGGGACCCGTCTTCCTACTCCCCTCGCCTCGATTTCATCAGGCAACAGATGGTCCCATGGCTTGACTTGAAAAATCTTAAGTGACCTCAAAGAGAATGCAAGCCCAGAACATTCCAGGCCTCCCTGAGCTGGCCGTGACGACTATCTTTAATACTAAATCTATTCATTTTAAATCGCAGGAATAGATTCTTCTTTAAAATTTTTTTTTAACATTTATTTATTTTTGAGACAGAGAGAGACACAGCATGAACGGGGGAGGGGCAGAGAGAGGGAGACACAGAACCCGAAACAGGCTCCAGGCTCTGAGCTGTCAGCACAGAGCCCGACGCGGGGCTCGAACTCACGGACCGTGAGATCATGACCTGAGCTGAAGTCGGCTGCCCAACCGACTGAGCCACCCAGGCGC